GTGCTGTGTTGTTGTGGTGTTTGTTAATACTGTAATTTGTTGTTGCTGTGTTTGTTCATACTGTACTCTGTTGGTTGCGGTGTTTGTTCATACTGTGTTGTGTTGTTGCGGTGTTTGTCCATACTGTGTTGTGTTGTTGCGGTGTTTTGTCCATACTGTGTTGTGTTGTTGCGGTGTTTGTTCATACTGTGTTGTGTTGTTGCGGTGTTTGTCCATACTGTGTTCTGTTGTTGCGGTGTTTGTTCATACCGTGTTGTTGCGGTGTTTGTTCATACCGTGTTGTTGCGGTGTTTGTTCATACTGTGTTGTGTTGTTGCGGTGTTTGTCCATATTGTGTTGTGTTGTTGCGGTGTTTGTTCATACTGTGTGCTGTAGCGGTGTTTGTCCATACTGTGTTGTGGCCGTGTTTGTCCATACTGTGTTGTGTTGTTGCGGTGTTTGTCCATACTGTGTTGTGTTGTTGCGGTGTTTGTCCATACTGTGTTGTGTTGTTGCGGTGTTTGTCCATACTGTGTTGTGTTGTTGCGGTGTTTGTTCATACTGTATTGTGTTGTTGCGGTGTTTGTTCATACTGTATTGTGTTGTTGCCGTGTTTGTCCATACTGTGCTGTGTTGTGGCCGTGTTTGTCTATACTGTGCTGTGTTGTGGCCGTGTTTGTCCATACTGTGCTGTGTTGTTGCCGTGTTTGTCCATACTGTGTTGTGTTGTTGCCGTGTTTGTCCATACTGTGTTGTGTTGCCGTGTTTGTTCATACTGTGTTGTGTTGTTGCCGTGTTTGTTCATACTGTGTTGTGTTGTTGCCGTGTTTGTTCATACTGTGTTGTGTTGTTGCGGTGTTTGTTCATACTGTGTTGTGTTGTTGCGGTGTTTGTTCATACTGTGTTGTGTTGTTGCGGTGTTTGTTCATACTGTGTTGTGTTGTTGCGGTGTTTGTTCATACTGTGTTGTGTTGTTGCGGTGTTTGTTCATACTGTGTTGTGTTGTTGCGGTGTTTGTTCATACTGTGTTGTGCTGTTGGCGGTGTTTGTTCATACTGTGTTGTGTTGCTGGCGGTGTTTGTTCATACCTGCGTTGTGCTGTTAAGTGCGTTTGTTCATACTGTGTTGTGTTGCTATGTGTGTTTGTTCATACTGTGTTGTGTTGTTGCGGTGTTTGTCCATACTGTGTTGTTGCGGTGTTTGTTCATACTGTGTTGTGTTGTTCCGGTGTTTGTCCATACTGTGTTGTGTTGTTGCGGTGTTTGTTCATACTGTGTTGTGTTGTTGCGGTGTTTGTTCATACTGTGTTGTGTTGTTGCGGTGTTTGTTCATACTGTGTTGTGTTGTTGCGGTGTTTGTTCATACTGTGTTGTGTTGTTGCGGTGTGTGTTCATACGGTGGTGTGTTGTTGCGGTGTCTGTTCATACTGTGTTGTGTTGTTGCGGTGTTTGTTCATACTGTGTTGTGTTGTTGCGGTGTTTGTTCATACTGTGTTGTGTTGTTGCGGTGTTTGTTCATACTGTGTTGTGTTGTTGCGGTGTTTGTTCATACGGTGGTGTGTTGTTGCAGTGTCTGTTCATACTGTGTTGTGTTGTTGCGGTGTTTGTTCATACTGTGTTGTGTTGTTGCGGTGTTTGTTCATACTGTGTTGTGTTGTTGCGGTGTTTGTTCATACTGTGTTGTGTTGTTGCGGTGTTTGTTCATACGGTGGTGTGTTGTTGCAGTGTCTGTTCATACTGTGTTGTGTTGTTGCGGTGTTTGTTCATACTGTGTTGTGTTGTTGCGGTGTTTGTTCATACTCGTGTTGTGTTGTTATGCGTGTTTGTTCATACTGTGTTGTGTTGTTAAGTGTGTTTGTTCATACTGTGTTGTGTTGTTATGTGTTTGTTCATACTGTGTTGTGTTGTTATGTGTTTGTTCATACTGTGTTGTGTTGTTGGGCGGTGTTTGTCCATAAATTGCGGTTGTAAGGTTGTGTGTTTGTCCATACTGTGCTGATGTTGCGGTGTTTGTCCATACTCGTGTTGTGTTGTTGCGGTGTTTTGTCCATACCGTGTTGTTGCTGCGGTTTTAATCCATACCGGTTGTGTTGTTGCCGTGTTTGTCCATACCGTGTTGTGTTGTTGCGGTGTTTGTCCATACTGTGCTGATGTTGCGGTGTTTGTCCATACTGTGTTGTGTTGTTGCGGTGTTTGTCCATACCGTGTTGTTGCCGTGTTTGTCCATACCGTGTTGTGTTGTTGCCGTGTTTGTCCATACCGTGTTGTGTTGTTGCCGTGTTTGTCCATACCGTGTTGTGTTGTTGCCGTGTTTGTCCATACCGTGTTGTTGTTGCCGTGTTTGTCCATACCGTGTTGTGTTGTTGCCGTGTTTGTCCATACCGTGTTGTGTTGTTGCCGTGTTTGTCCATACCGTGTTGTGTTGTTGCCGTGTTTGTCCATACCGTGTTGTGTTGTTGCCGTGTTTGTCCATACCGTGTTGTGTTGTTGCCGTGTTTGTCCATACCGTGTTGTGTTGTTGCCGTGTTTGTCCATACTGTGTTGTGTTGTTGCCGTGTTTGTCCATACTGTGTTGTGTTGTTGCCGTGTTTGTCCATACTGTGTTGTGTTGTTGCCGTGTTTGTTCATACCGTGTTGTGTTGTTGCGGTGTTTGTCCATACCGTGTTGTGTTGTTGCGGTGTTTGTCCATACCGTGTTGTGTTGTTGCGGTGTTTGTCCATACTGTGTTTGTCCATACTGTGTTGTGTTGTTGCGGTGTTTGTTCATACTGTGTTGTGTTGTTGCGGTGTTTGTTCATACTGTGTTGTGTTGTTGCGGTGTTTGTCCATACCGTGTTGTGTTGTTGCGGTGTTTGTCCATACTGTGCTGATGTTGCGGTGTTTGTCCATACTGTGTTGTGTTGTTGCGGTGTTTGTCCATACCGTGTTGTTGCTGTGTTTGTCCATACTGTGTTGTGTTGTTGCGGTGTTTGTTCATACCTGTGTTGTTGCGGTGTTTGTCCATACTGTGTTGTTGCGTGTTTGTCCATACCGTGTTGTTGCGGTGTTTGTCCATACCGTGTTGTGTTGTTGGTGTTTGTCCATACCGTGTTGTTGTTGCCGTGTTTGTCCATACCGTGTTGTGTTGTTGCCGTGTTTGTCCATACCGTGTTGTGTTGTTGCCGTGTTTGTCCATACCGTGTTGTGTTGTTGCCGTGTTTGTCCATACCGTGTTGTGTTGTTGCCGTGTTTGTCCATACCGTGTTGTGTTGTTGCCGTGTTTGTCCATACCGTGTTGTGTTGTTGCCGTGTTTGTCCATACTGTGTTGTGTTGTTGCCGTGTTTGTCCATACTGTGTTGTGTTGTTGCCGTGTTTGTCCATACTGTGTTGTGTTGTTGCCGTGTTTGTTCATACCGTGTTGTGTTGTTGCGGTGTTTGTCCATACCGTGTTGTGTTGTTGCGGTGTTTGTCCATACCGTGTTGTGTTGTTGCGGTGTTTGTCCATACTGTGTTTGTCCATACTGTGTTGTGTTGTTGCGGTGTTTGTTCATACTGTGCTGATGTTACACTATGTTGCTGTGAAATGTCATCAGCTGTAATCTCTCTCTCTCTCTCCCGCCGGGCATTGCTCCCACGGGGTTCCCGCTCAATCTCGCCAGCCAATCAAAAAGCTCCACCCTACCGTCAGCCACGCCCACCGCTGGCACCTGCTGACCCACGTGACTCACGCTGCCATTGATCTCCGGTAACCGATTAAACTATTTTGGAAATTTGCGAATATCTCGGTCTTCACTACCGGACGCCTCAGGAGTGCCGGTGCTGGTGTCCGCCATCTTTCACGCTCCTGATCGAGCATCGTTACACAGTTAAACCGCTGGACCCTGGTTTCCATGGTGACCGGAGACTCCATCCCGGCTGGACCACTTCAAGTTCCACTGAGAATGGGGGGGTGGGTTTATATGTGTTAATCTGTTAATTCACCTTAAGGTAGTTTTCATGTCAATACATAATAATCTGCTGCGGTATTTATGATTCTGGTGACTTTTGCAGGTTTGACACGTTGTTAAAGTGTCAGCAGTTATTTCAGTCCCCCCCGTATTCCTCTTGCACTTGGTATCGCCTGGAACCCGGAAGCGTGCTGCCTGCTTGGTGCAGGGTGACTGTAGAAGCAGTAGCAGCACTGGAGGTAATGCATTGATTGAGTGAGTGACACATTTGTTGTTGGTCCCCCAGCCCCCTCCAATGTGGAGCTGACATTATCTGTTGGATGCTCAGCTGGGACTGGAACCTCTGTAGGAGCCATTCTACCACCTGGGTTACTTAAAGAGGGTCCATTGGTTTTGGCTGGCTCTGGTCATTGACTGAAAAGGTGAGAAGTTGCTACAAATCCCATCATTTAAAGAAAAAGAAAAAACTTTAAAAATAAATCCTATATTTATTTGAAATGAGTTCTGTCCCAGAGTGGGTGTTGTTGTCCCTGATTGCTGCCCTGATCGCTCTTCTATTACTTACACTCTTTGGAGTGGCAGTATACTCAGGACTACTAACAGAAGTAGAGGTACGAGCGGGTCCCCCACCCATCCGTGGGGTGGTTGTGGCATACAAATTCCGTGTTGGACCATATGACGAGAGTGGGAACTTGTACACGGAGAATGTCAGCCTTGCACCAAAGCTCGTCTCCATTGGGGTTTACTACGACAATCCAATGAAGGTGAGAATAAAACCAGTGAAATCTTTTTGAAGGCTGTTTTATAGTCTGTTTATGTTTACTAGTAAGTTTGTCGTATTTAACTGAATAATGCATATGCAGGATTTTGGACTCAAGGTAAATTTCAAAATGTAGGACAAAATAGGTGAACTGAAATCATATCCGCTGATTTATGTAACTTTTATATTTTGGCCTAAAATTTTACATTCTCTTTAAATTCCTAACAATTTGTAATTAATTGAATAGTGTTCAGCATGTTGATATCTCCACTACATGCTTTGAGTATTCGATTTCAAAGGAAATGTAGAATATTCGGGGTTGACCGTGTTCTAATTTGAGAAGCACATGATGAAAAAAATATACAAGCTTATCTACGCCACCACGTCGATGATGATGATAATAATGGCAGTTTATAATTCTCCTTCTGACCGTTACCTGTTCGGATCATTTTAAAATAATGTCACTAATTAATGCAACTCTGATTAAGGTATTTAATTTGCACAACTTGGCATTTGACAGACATAACATTTCCAGTCCAAACATGACAACTAAATTTGGGCCAAAAAGGCACTTAACTCTGAAACGTGTAGCATAGCTTTCTTTACTACCTATGTAGTTCTGCACACTTTTAGGATAATCTTGTCCATTGGGGTTTGTGACCCAAGTATGATCTAGGCATTGATGGATGTGGCTTCTAGCACCATACGAGGGAACAGATGCCTTGCATCCACTATTATGTTTCCCAGCAGTTTCACTAGAACAATCTATAATTTAACTTTTACCACTTTAAATGAAGCAATTTGTAATGGTTATATGAATAATTAAGTGTACTCAACTAAATTTATATTAAAATACTACAAGGGTACTAACTTCTTTAAAAGTTTTCTCTAATTATTTTACTTCCAACTTGCTTTATATCCCAGCATTATCATAAACTGTGTTCTAAGTATCAAAGGGGTGGGGGTGATGTGTTGAGGGCATTGAGGAGAGCAAGGGACAGGTAAATATAGCTGCAAATACTCCAGGGAAAGAGACTTGCTTATAGCAGCAGATGTGCCCTTGAGGGCAGGTAAAATATCTCATTGGGTTAAGTACTTTCGTAATAGAACCCAGGTGTATCAGAAAATGAGTGCAGCTTCTTACTTGTAATGTTAAGAGCAACTAACAAATTATTGCTATACGAAAGCTGCAGCTCTGTATAGATGGATAGGCCTTTCTAAAACCAGAAGTTATACCCGCTGACCACTTAATTTGGGGGGTATTTTTTTCATAAATTTTTCTTAAGAGCCTCTGTGATCATTTTGGTAATGTCCATCACTAGTCTGGTATATCTGTTTACACTTCTCTGAATTCCAAGGCTCACTGAGACTATTTATATATAAACAGGTAGTAAAGTGTACATGTATGCATTGTGTGTTTATTTACACATCTGCCCAGTGTTGCCCATAATACTCCATTAAAAGCATGACCTCAAGAACACAGAAGGTTCTGTTGGGAATCAATAAGCCACCATTTCCAGATTTTGAACAAGAGCTTATGGATTTACTTGTTGTACTTTTGTATACAACACACAGAATCTAACTGATACACAAGTTTTGTGTTGAGACTCTATTAATTCAGTGAAAAATTGAAGCCGATGGGGCACTGTGGGTAAAAGGTTGAGTTAACCAGATCTATAAGATAAAGGTACATGTATGTAACATTCCTTGCATTGATGGGTTATTAAAGGGACACTCTAGTCACTAGAACCACTTTTAGGGCAAATAGCAGTGTAAACAGGGCAGGCGCCTCCATTAAGCGGCACAGACAGCCGTCTTAGGGCGAAAGAGCAGAGGGGTGCAAAAATTAGAATCCCCTTCCTCTGGCTCAGGACTTGGATTCTTCTAATTACCTGTCTCCCTGCAGCCATAACATGGCAGCAATTAAAGTCGGCCGGCCTCTCCTGATGACATCAGGAGGAAGGGGCGTGACTTCCTCTGCTCTTCTCCCAGACTCCCCAGCGGATGGGAGAAGAGCAGTGGAAGTCACTCCCCCTCCTCCTGACATCATCAGGAGAGACCGGCTGTGTTTTCTGATGCAGGCTCCAGCTCATCTCACTTGGCCCAAGTTAAGCCTCAGGGGGGAGTGGCTGAGGGAATGAGACACACTGGGGAAATGGCATGGGGAATGAGACACACGTCGGGAAATGGCATGGGGAATGAGACACACGGTGGGAAATGGCATGGGGAATGAGACACACGGTGGGAAATGGCATGGGGAATGAGACACACGGTGGGAAATGGCATGGGGAATGAGACATACGGGGGAGTGGCGGGGGGAATGAGACACGCGGGAGTGGCGGGGGGAATGAGACACGCCGGGAGGGGGGAATGAGACACGCGGGAGGGATGGGGAATGAGACACACCGGGATGGGGGAATGAGACACACGGGGAGGAATGACACACGGGGAGGGGGGGAACGACACGCCGGGGAGGCGGGGAATGAGACACACCGGGAGGGCGGGGAATGAGACACACACCGGGAGTGGGGGGGGGAATGAGACACACGGGGAGTGGAGGGGAATGAGACACATAGGGGATGGAAGGGGGAATGAGACACACAGGGACAGGGGATGGAAGGGGAATGAGACACGGGAATGAGACACACACTGGGGATCGGCAGGGGGAATGAGACACACAGGGGATGTGGAAGGGGAATGAGACACACCGGGGATCGCAGGGGAATGAGACACACGGGGATGGCAGGGAATGAGACACAGGATCGGCAGGAAATGAGACACACAGGGGATGTGGAAGGGGAATGAGACACACGGGAATGAGACACACGGGAATGTGGCAGGGGAATGAGACACACGGGAATGGCAGGGAATGAGACACGGGGATGTGGCAGGGGAATGAGACACACGGGGATGGCAGGGGGAATGAGACACCGGGATGTGGCAGGGGAATGAGACACGGGGAGCTGGTGGCATGAGACACGGGGCAGCTGATTGAGACACAAGGGGGGTTTGGGGGAATGAGACACATGGGGGTGTGCTAAGGAATTGAGACAAATGGGGGTGCTGGGGGAATGAGACACACGGGAGGTGCTGGAGGAATGAGACACACGGGAGGTGCTGGAGGAATGAGACACATGGGAGGTGCTGGGGGAATGAGACACACGGGGGTGCTGGGGAAATAAGACACAATGGGGGTGTTGGGGGAAGAAGACACAACGGGGGTGGTGCTGGTGGAATGAGACACAATGGGGGTGTGCTGAAGGAATGTGATAAATAAGGGGGTGCTAGGGGAATGAGACACATGGGGGAGTGGCTGGGTGAATGAGACACACAGGGGGAGGGCTGGGGTAATGAGACAAATGGAGGGAATGAGGCACATGGAGGTCTGGTGGAATGAGACATACGGACTAGTGCTGGGGGAATGGGACACATGGGGGGAGTGGCTGGGTGAATGAGACACACAGGGGGAGTGGCTGGGGTAATGAGACAAATGGAGGAAATGAGGCACATGGAGGTCTGGTGGAATGAGACATACGGACTAGTGCTGGGGGAATGGGACACACGGGGAGGGCTAGGGAAATGAGACACACAAGGGAGTGTCGGGGGAATGAGACACAGTGGGGGAGCTGGGAGAATGACACACGGGGCTGGCTGATTGAGACACATGGGGATGCTGGGGGAATGAGACATACGGAGGAGTGTTGGGGGAATGAGACACACGGGGGAGTGCTGGGGAAATGAGACACACAAGGGAGTGTTGGGGGAAAAAGGCACAGTGGGGGAGCTGGGAGAATGACACACGGGGCTGGCTGAGACACATGGGAGATGCATGGGAGATGCTGGGGGAATGAGACACATGGGGGTGGTGCTTGGGGAATGAATCCCAAGGGAAGGGGGCTGGGGGAATGAGCCCCGAGGGGAAGGAGGGCTGGGGAATGAGTCCCGGGGGGAAGGGGGGGAAATGAGACAAATGGAGGGGCTTGGGGCTAATGAGTCCCGGGGGTAAGGGGGGATGAGTCCCAGGGGGAGGGGAGACGGCTGAGGGAATGAGTCCCGAGGGGGGTGGCTGGGGGAATGAGACACATGCGGGTGTGCTGAGGGAATGGGGGGTTGTGGGAATGAGACACACGAGGGAGCGCAGGGGGAATAAGACATTGTGGTGGCTGGGGGAATGAGAGAATGAGGGAATGAGACAAATGACGGGGGCTTGGGGGGAATGAGGCACATGGGGAACTGGGGGAATGAGACACATGGGGGAAATGAGATACATGGAGACATAGATGGGCTGGGGGGAAGAGACTCGCAAATGAGGGGGGCTCACATACACCCAGAGTGGGGGAGACACAAAGGGGCTGGGGAAGGGGCAAAAGAGACAGAGGCTTTACCCAAAAAACCCATTAAATTTTAATTGTCAACTAAAACTAGACTAAAACTAAAACAATTCAGATAACTAAAATAGTCAAAAGACTATGACTAAACTAAATTGAAATTTGCTGTCAAATAGAAGTGTTCATGGTGGTAGGAGTCTATATGTGCAGCGTTTCAGCTTGAAATGTGGAAAAATCTGCATTTGTCTCTCCTCCTTCCTTCACTGAAGCCCTCTACGAGCCACCTCCCTATTCCTTCATATATAAGAGTGGGACATTTACTTGATAGCCACGCCCCAAAACGAAAGTGGACTGTGAGCGTCAGACGGATATCTACCAGGATCCACAGACAGACACACAGTCATATCAGTTGCCATGATGTCATAAAAGGGGCGGGGCCACATCGACTAACACAGAACATGCCAAATTTGTTTGGAATCTAGGAGCCAGCTAAAAAGGTTAGTAGCCAGTCATTTTCAACAAGAAAAATTCAATTCTTAAAGGGACACTATAGTCACCAGAACCACTACAGCTTGATGTAGTTGTCCTGGTGTCTTAAGCCTGTCCCTACAGGCTTTTCAGAGTAAACACTGCCTTTTCAGCGAAAATGCAGTGTCTACATTGCTGCTTAGTACCACCTCTAGTGACTGTCACTCAGACGGCCACTAGAGTGTCTTGGGTCACTGCTGCACTATGTGCAGCACCCTTGTTCAGGGTCTCCAAACTCTGCATGGAGGTGCTGAATGTTCCCGTAGAGATTTTTTAATTCAGTGCATCTCTATGAGGAGATGCGGAGTGGCTCATTTGCTGCGCATGCACAAAATCCTCCCAATTCTTTCCTAAGGTAAAGCATTGGCATAGCTGAGATCATAAAGATTAATAATCTCAGCCATGGAGGTTGGACCAGCCGCGGCGAAACTGGCACGGCGAGGGAAAATGGGGAAAAAAGGTGAGTAAAACACCTTCCTAATGTGATTGGAGGGGGCAGGTGCCTAGACGCACACACAAGCACTCTGACAGGCTCACGTACACACTCACACTGACAGGCTCACGCACTCTGACAGGCTCATACTACCTTTGAGAGAGCTGAGTGGATTTTTCCCTGGAGTCCAGTGGGGCTGCTCTCTTCCTGTGTGCAAGAGAGCAGTACTCTGCCTGCAGCTCCAATCTGCTCCCAGCACGCCCTCTGTAATGATGCCAGGGCCGGCTCCTGGCATCATTAAACAGTGCGAGGGAGCAGATTGGAGCTTCAGGCAGAGTACTGCTCCCTTGCGCGCCGCCTACATGTTGGTGCCTCAATGCTGCTCACAGTTCCAATATTCCGCGCAGAGCTGGCAAATCCTTGACGTCAGGGTGAAATTTCTAGTAGCCATTGTGACCTGACGTCTGGGATTTGTCGAGCCCTGACCTAACATCAGGAACAGTGGCAAAGGTGTCTGAGGGTGTTTACAGATGCAGAGCATTTGAACGCAGGGGTGTCGATTAAGGCACGTTTCATTAGATTACATCCTCTCCCAACCCACCCAAAGAATCGCCAATTGGGTGAGTCTTTCTAGGTTTAGAAGGGAACCTACTATGAAGTTTCTTGACTAGCAGGCGGACAAGAACATAACTGGAATTAGTTAAAAAAATCTTTCTTCTGAGTCGTGTCCTTTTCCAGTGGACCATATATTGTAGCCTGCCTCTAGAGATATGGGAGTCAATTTCTTGGGCTTCATATTCCTCATGATTGTCAACTAAAATAAGAGCAGGGACAGGAGGATAGGAAAATCTGTTATAGATCCGGGAAATATGGAAGGTATTAGAGATATGAAGGCTCTTAGGTAGGGCCAACGTGTAAGCTACTGGATTTATTTGATGTATAATACGATATGGTCTGATCTGATTCTGAGTGGACAGCCAGACTCTGTCCACAAGCTGGAACGAGGGTGCAGCCTTGCACTAGCAGTAAGCTTGTCTCTTTTAGCGCAGTACTAATCGATTCAGGATGTCCCTAACTTATGCCCATAGGGACATTAGATTAGCCAGGTGATTGTATAGAGCAGGTATTTCATATACTGAATCTCCTGCATCCCCATTCGTTTTGTAACGATACGCAGAGGAAAGCGAGAGCTAGATTCACATCTCTTTACAAAATTTTGTCCAAAACCAGGAGATGTCTACTACTTTAGCAAACACTTTGGCACGTTCAGCAGGTAATGGTAACTCAGAAAGGTGAGCAAAATTTGTTAACAATAACAAGGATGATCGTGAAACCTTGAGACGAAAGCAAGTTTTGGGGGGTAGGGGCAAGGGAAGGGAATAGAGGGACACTATAATGTTAGAATACAGCTTTGGAATACTCCAGTTAAGTCCAGTAATACACCTAACTAAAAAAAAAAAAAATTCTGGTAATTACTACCTATTATTTAATATCTCTTTCTACTATTGTACTTTAGTTTATTATTTAGTTTTTCCTCCCACTCCCTCTATCCCTCCCTCTTATATACTCCAATAGCATTGGTGAGTTGGTTATTCTGTCTGTCTTCTCGGAGCAGTCAGTTAATACTATACCATATCATTGAGCTATGGGTAGTTTATCCGAGGAATGTCTTTTTAATGTATATTAAATAAAGTATTTTTCTAGATTTTCTATTTAGGGACAGTTTTTCTCCGTCTTTTTCCTTTTTACACCTAACTATCTCATCTCACTTTGCCTTTGCTAGGACTGTTGTTTTGCTGAGGATTCTAACTACCATGACAGGTCGTTCCTGCAAATATTGCATGACTAACATTCAATGTCTCCACACTCTACATGGAGACACTAAATGCTCCCTTTAGAGATGGATTGATTCAATACATCTCAATGAGGAATTGCTGATTGGCACAGGGTGGGAATTTGCCGTGCATGCTCACTAACTTTCTTATGCTTCTCCAAAGAGAATTGGATTGTCTGAGCTCATCAGGATTGATAATTCCAGCTGTGGATGCACAAAGACTAGCGATGGGGGAAATAATGTGTTAAAGGGACACTATAGTGATCCTTTAAACCTTCTTTTTTTTTTTTTTTTATAAAGGGGGGAGCTCAGATATTTAAATAGGCAGTATAATGCTTGCATTCCTAACGCTATAGTGTTTCTTTGAAGTGGCACTGTGATGGAAAATTGTCTAAACATCATCATAAAAAGCCTTAAAACCTGGTTATTCCTTGTAGTGATTATTCTTAAAGGGACACTCTAAGCATCACTGCAACTACAGCTAGTAGTAGTTTGTTGCAAAGATCCTGTCTCTGCACTCTCTCCTATGTAAGAATGAAGATGTTGCCTATAGAGATACATTGCTATAATGTATTTCTGTAAGGAGATACTGATGGGGCAGCACAACAGTTGCCATACATACGCAATAGGCCATCAGTGCTTCCTTATGGAGACGCATCGGATTGGCTGAGATCATCAAGGGGTGAAGGCAGCGGTAGGACCAGCGAGGGGTTCTTTTTAAGGAGGGTGGTGTAAATCTAACTATAAGGGAGGAAATGTTAACATTAGAAATACACGTTCTGTACATGTACATGAACAAGTCTGTTCAGCAGGTGTTTATAAAAAGTAATTCTATATATACTTTGCTTCTCTAGGACAGTTGATATTCTGCATTATCAGAGAGATAAGTAAACTTTTTCTCTGCTCTACTGGGAGCAGGTCTGCAAATCCCATGTTCTGCTTGGCTGTTGGGATTACATACTTTCTGTAGACTTATAATATCAGTAATTGCAAAAGAAAGTTGTTGTTTTTTTGTTTGTTTTTTAAATTGTGAAGCAATTCCAAGATGGCCATGCCCACACAGTGATAATTGTGGCAAAATGTCTTGCAGCTTGGTTAGCTTTAAATATAACATGAATCTCTAGGGAATTTGGGGGAAATTGTATTTATTCTAATGTATGGAAAACCAATGTTAACAACAGTGTCCTTTATAAATAGAGTTTAAAAAAAATATCACAGCCTGTCCTTGTAGTGTATGCACCTACACCGTTCAAGTTGTTTTATTTATTTCAAGTGGTTTTTTTTTGTTCACAGGTCCCTGTGGAGTTCTGTAGGTATATGGTGGGCACTATCCTTTGTGAGGGAGACGAAAAGCCATTACCTGATCATGTCCGAATATTCCGTAAACATGGATTTAAGTTCTGGGTCTTACCTGAGGTGAACCATGCTGTTATGGCCACGTTTCCATATACTACTCCCTTCTCAATACAACTGGCAACCACCCGAGTACATCCTGCCTTGGAGAAATACGTCAAGGTAAAAGCAATATGAAGAGTTTCTTTTAGGGTATAAAAAGTAAATAAAAAGGGGGTTATGAATAACATTTTCACATTCGCTTTCACATTTGTGTCTGGTGCGCATTTTCTTATGTATAAAAGAGTTACTCTACTGCTTACACATCAGTGCTTTTCTTTTTCCCTGCCTTTTCTGTAGTACTCCAACGTAATCCATCTTTCTTCTACTTTTTATTCCTGTTGTATACAGCAAACACAGACTCAAAGGAATCCGGGTTTAACCCCTTAAGGACCGAGGACGGTTCAGGACCGTCATCGGCATTTTCCCATTGCCGACCACTGACGGTCCTAAACCGTCCTAACGGTCCTAGTTACTTACCTGATCGCCGTCGTTCCCCCGGCGGCGATCAGCGTTGCTCCCGGTGTGGGGAGACTGCCCGCAGCCCAGACAGTCTCCCCACACTGGATTAGGACCCCTGTGGCCATGTGATCGCTTAACACAGCGATCACATGGTCACAATAGGTGTCCTAGTGTCTGCCTGCATGGGGACTGTCTGTGCTGACAGGCAGTCTCCCTGCTAGTGTAAAATAAAAAAATAAATAAAGTTAATGTTAATAAAAAAATAAAAATAATTATATATGTGTATATATGATATATAGACATATATTATATCTATATAATATATGTCTATATATCATATATATATATATATAATGTCATACTAAGTGTATTTTTATATTAATATGTACTTATATTAATATAAAATACACTTATAATTAAATTACACACGTATATATATAATATATATAATAACTATATATATTGTATATATATATTATTATAAAATATAAATAATAAGTAATTTAAATTAAATAAATTTTTTTAAAATAATAATAAAAATTGAAAAAAAAATTATATCTATATGAAATTTTATTCTAACTGTATTTTAACATTAATATATATATATATATATATCAAAATACACTTAGAATGAATTTGTATATATATCTATGTATATATAAATAAATAAAAATAATACAAAATATACATATGTCCATATACAAAATTACATAAATAATTATATAAATATACACGTAGACTTCAAATATATAAATATGCATATATATTTAAATTCTACGTGCGTATTTATGTAATATTTTTACATAATTAAGTAATTTTATTGATTGTAATTTGAGGGACCTGCCTGCCAACCCAGGCCAAAGTCCAGAGAATTTAATTTGCTAGCACTGTATTTTACCCTGTAACGTTCTACGACACCCTAAAACCTGTACATGGGGGTACTGTTTTACTTGGGAGACTTCGCTGAACACAAATATTAGTGATTCAAAACAGTAAAACATATCACAGCGATGATATTGTCAGTGAAAGTGACTTTTTTGCATTTTTCACACACAAACAGCACTTTTACTGATGATATAATTGTTGTGATACGTTTTCCAGTTTTTAAACACTAATATTTGTGTTCAGCGATGTCTCCCGAGTAAAACAGTACCCCCCATGTACAGGTTTTATAGCATTTTTGAAAGTTACAAGGTCAAATATATGGGTCAAATATTTTACATTGAAAATGGCCAGGTTGGTTACGTTGCCTTTGAGAGCGTATGGTAGCCCAGGAATGAGAATTACCCCATGATGGCATACCATTTGCAAAAGAAGACAACCCAAGGTATTGCAAATGGGGTATGTCCAGTCTTTTTTAGTAACCACTTGGTCACAAACACTGGCCAAAATTAGCGCTCAATTTAGTTTTTTTACTTTTTTCACACACAAACAAATATGAATGCTTACTTTGGCCAGTGTTTTCGACTAAGTGGCTACTAAAAAAGACTGGACATACCCCATATTGAATACCCTGGGTTGTCTACTTTAAAAAAAATATGTACATGTGGGTGTTATTCAGAGATTTATGACAGATAATAGTGTTACAATGTCACTATTGATAAATTTTAAAAATGTATGTTTTGAAACCGCAATATCCTACTTGTACCTATAGCCCAATAACATGCAAAAAAAAAGCACGTAAACACTAGGTATTTTTAAACTCAGGACAAAATTTGGAATCTATTTAGCAGTTTTTTTCATTCGCTTTTGTAGATGAGTAAAAGATTTTTCAAGTAAAAGTCAAAAAACATGTATTTTTTTCAATTTTTCATCATATTTTTTTATTTATTTTAAATTAAATAGAGATTATATAAATAATGGTATGTAAAGAAAGCCCCTTTTGTCCTGAAAAAAACAATATATAATTTGTATGGGAACAGTAAATAAGGGAGCGGAAAATTACAGCCAAACACAAACACCACAAAAGTGTAAAAATATGCCTGGTCGCAAATGTACAACATCGCAAAAACAGTCCAGTCCTTAAGGGGTTAAAATGGAATAAGGCAAAAATTTGATTCTTTGTTAAACTATTTTGCATATGCCCACCCAGAATCCTTTGTGGTAGTAACATCACTGCAGATTTGTGATTTCCTTGGGAAAAGCAAGTCTTATGGCTTGACTGTGCAGATTTTTCTTTAACATTGTATTAACTATCTATCTATCTATCTATATATATATATATATATATATATATATATATATATATGTATGTGTGTGTTTGTGTACTCATTTCCATATGTCCACCCAGAATCCCTTGCAGTAGTAACAGCACTGCAAACGTGCTGGCGAGTGCAGATCTGTGTTTAACAATATATTTACTGACTTAAGGTGGAAGGGGTTGTCACTCAGTTTTTTCCCCGCCATAGCTCTATTGGTTTGTGCTCCTGAAAGAAAACCTTATTTTTGTTCTTTATTTTTGGACAGCCAATAAAGCAAATGATATACAGGAAAGGCGCTTGACATACAGAGATAGTGGTAAATAAGGTACACATAACCATAAGCCTAAGCATCATACAATCTAGAGTAAGTACATACATTTAGAAAGTAGTATTGGAGATTGTACGATAAAATCGCAGTTCGTCATTCTCAGAAGGTGCTCTTCCGCTATATAGGTATTGTATGGCCGTCTTTCTCAAAATAACTTTAAATCATCAGAACAAAGGGGGAAAAAACATAAAAACTGCAAGCACAGCATCAGTAGTTACTGCGGACCCACCATTATTGCAAGCCATGCCATCAAACATAAATCCTTTCTCCAGGTGCTGGCACATCTCTGCAAGGCCGTCACATCAGCTGTTGTCAAGTATCCCCTAGTCTCCTAAGTCTGTCCCGGGAGTCAACAATTTTTTCAAATGATTGAGTTGGGTTATGTATTATTGCAGTCAGTTTGTCCATTAGATAGTTTTCCTTAATCCTCTGTGTCACCTCTGTCATGCTAGGTATCTATGTTTTAGTCCATTGTCGCTATCTCTTGTCTTACTGACAGTGTGATTCTGTTTGAGTTTGTGGTGTCTAGTTATCATCCCATTCACTGGCCTGGCTAATAAAAAGGCACAGGGGTGTAACTCGATAGGTCTTTCAAATACCCTGGCTAGTAGATCCCTGAGCGGTTTTGGTTTCTCGCATACCCATCACAGGTGGACGTAGGTTCCTTTCTCCTTGCAACTCACAACACAAGTCAGTAGCTCCCCTGCCCATGCAGTATAGTTTGGTCTGGGTAGTGCACCAGTGGATTATTGTCTTCGCTGCCTGTTCCTGTAGTCCCACACTAATGGACACCTTACTAGTTGCCTCCCATATATCTTGCCCGTTCTCCTGTACCTCCTCCACCTCTGCCTCCCACTGGTTTGTATAGGCTAGGTCACCCCATCCAGTAGATTTCAAACTTATGGTTTTTTCTATTGTGGATATTAGTCTGTCCCCCCACCCTCACTCCTCTGCCTTGCATAAACTCTCCAAGAAGGGCATGGTTAGCTCCACGGCGTGCTGGCCCTGTGTTTAAGTGCCAAATCTGTAACTTGAAGATAGAGAAAGAAATCCTGCAGGGGTAGAGGACTTACCTGGGACAGTTCCTCAAATGTGATAAAAGTGTTGTTCGAGTAGAAATGTTTAAATCTTAGAAGCTCTCGAGACCCGCAAAGTCCCTCACTTACATGCCTGGGGGAAAGGCTCTATTTCGCAGGAAAGAAGTCATTGGCGATGGGTTCTCAACCAGAGCCATCTTTCCCATAACTCTGTTTTAGAGGGTCAAAGAGGTCAGAACAGCTGGTCAGTCAGTCCATAGCAAAATTCTGTGCTGTTTGTCTATCCACATATAGAATTGCGGGATGTTGGAACACTTCAAGCCTGAATCCAGATCCACCCACCTCCTCTCGTCTGGCAAGGCATGCCACAGGACAATCTGTGCTAATTAGGCTGCAACATAGTATAAATACAGGTTGGGTAGGCTCTTGCCACGCATGGGAAAACTGCACGTTTTTATACATTGGAAGGAACACTTTGGGAACCAAAATCAAATGGAGTAGGAAATCTAAAATGACAGTAGAGGCTCAAGTAGAGAAATATGGGAGCACATAAGGCAAAAAAGGGAGCAAATATTAAAAACTCCAGAAACACAGCTTAAACAGTGAATGTTACACTTTGTATAAATAACCCCAATATTTTTTTATTATGGGTCACACAAGAGATTTCTTGATATTATATTGCACACCATAGCCATTTATAGAGGATGTTCTCCTATGGGGTGTTTAATATTAGAGTGTAGAAAAAAAGATTTAAACTAAGCACTTGATTGGATGACAAACTGCAAGTCATTTTACAAGTCATAGGTTCAGTGGAATACAGAACAGCCAAATATTGGTAAAGACAGTAATATATCTCTCTCTTGTTTAGTCTACCTTGATGCTTCCAAACATGTTTTTCTCAATGAAAATTGCATTCTTTCTCTGTCTTACAACAGCATTGACTGAACCTAAGAAAATTAAGTTATATTTGTGTAGAAAGGAAGTGTGAAAGTGTTCATCTTCCCTGTCAACTTGTGCTGATATCTGAGCTGTGCCTGCTAGAGAATTAATACCTACATCATTCATGTGGAAATGATCCTTTTATAACTGTTTGCCTGTTAAATGATCAGGGTACTTCCATGTCTAGTGTACTCTTGCATACTTGGAGTCAGTTTCTTACAGATTCTTGTCTCTCCTCATCCCCTTCACTGAACATAATCTTCCACCACCATACTCACTGGTAAACCCACTCCATTCTCCCTCCAAGGTACAATCAGGTATTTTTCCACCCACTATTTAAAAGGTATTGGTATATGTAATCCAGATATTGATAAGTAAATTGAAAACAACAGTTTAAACATCATAATAATATTTCTACTACACTCCCAAAATGCTGATCAGCTTTCTGCAAACAGGAGTCAGACCAGCACACTCTGGGATCCCTTGGCAATGCTTTGCACATAGTTTTATTAAAACATTTTTAAGCAAAGTATGGATTTTGAGCCATGTGAACCATGACGTTGATCTTCAGAAAGCTGTTACGACCTTGGGACTCATCAGTGTGGAGCAGGATGTCCAGCAAAAAAAATCACTATCATTTATCACAGAAAATGAAAAGTGACAGTGTTTATATGTATGTGGAAACATAACAGGGATTTGCACTCACAAGTTCTTGGTAAAGTGTCTAGGAAGTATCACCAGCAGAACATGTCAAGTTGGCATAAAGTGAGATACCTTTTACAGGTCTTAAAAAAAAAAAAAAAAGCAAATTATAATAAATATATAGGGAATAGGGAATTGTACTCGAATCATAAATCAGTGTTTGTATGCACGCATGACCAGCCTTGGATAGCAATGAGGCTGAGAGATCCATGGTCAGTTTAGCCCAATGCTTACAGACTATCACTGCGAGCGATATAGGTGAACATTATGAAATGGGATCATCCATGTTATCTCCGTTATATCACACTTTGGGTATTTAGTGAAACCTGATTTGTTTTTGTTTGGGGGGGGAGTTGAGGGGGGTTCAAACTGCTCAAAATTTATTTTACAGAAACAAAAAAAGTGGTTATTAAAGTGGCCATTTAAATATGAAATATGTGTTAATCTATAGGTTTCTCTAAAATCTAGTCATGGATTGTGATGACCCCTGAAAATATTAAAATATATATGTTTGGCACCACTGTCCTGCATACTGTATTTATATATATATATATATATAATTAGGATATCACCTAATAAATATTATTATATATGTATGCTTCATTGATATTGCCTACAGTTCTAGAGAAACTGAACAGCTCTTTTCTCCTTTGTGCTTAAAAAAATAAAATAAACATGTGACAATAATAAATTCCACATTAACCCCTTAAGGACACATGACAAACATTTTATGAGGGGGGGAGGGGGTTAAGATGCTTGCACTGTTTATTGAAAGATGTTTGTGTCTTTATTTATTCCCTTTAAGAAGAAGTAATTTGGAAAAACAGAAATCTGGCATAGCACCTATTTTTCCAAATGAATAAAACCAACCATGTTTCTGGCATTTGTTCTTTTTTTCTCGAATCACATGTAGACCTTTTTATGACTAATGATGTGTTTACCTCCTAATCTCAATCCTGATTTTATATACAGATCAGATATAGGTCTGATCGGTATCTAATCTACACAGTGATCTAAAATGGGAAACCACTGGTGCTAATTGTGGGAGCTATATTTGTATAAATGAGAGGGTATATAATAATGGATGTCTGTGTGTGAGCATGGGGGATTTGTGTGTTTGTGTGCAGGCTTTTTCGTTCCCTCTTCTTCACTCGTTGTCTGAGGTAAGGGAAGTGTAAATTGGCGCCTGCTGTTTGTACTCAGGTGAAAATGAGATCTGAGACAGAGAATGGAAAACAAGGGGAAAAGAGAAATAGTGGGATGGAGAATAGGGAATGCAGGCTGAGGAAGGACCAACTGGGGGGGGCGGGGGGGGAGAGATGGTGGTCTGGGCGCATATACTACACTTACACTCTTGCATCAGTGCTTCAAACCCCTCATTGCCTCCTTTCTCACTCCCCATATCAACAGCTCTTTTTCTCCACCTTGTTCCTCTCTCACACCTGCTTGCTACATTGTCTCCTATACCTTTCTGCTCTGTCTTTGTTTCAGAACTAGTTTACCTCCTCATTCTCCCTCTCTCTTATTTATTCTAAAATTCCTTTTATTTTCTCTCATGTCTTGTCATTTTCTGCTCTGTCCTGCCTTCTCTTCCACATCTTGAATCATCGTTTCTCCCTCCTTTGCTAAATGCTTTCACATCTTGCCCTGCGGTTTCCATTCCATGGCATAGAAGTGTGTGTGTGTGGAGGGTGGGGGGGGATGGTGGAGGGGGGGGGGGCAGATGTAATTGAGGGAGATCCCCCCCAAGGGGAACAGGAAGGAGGGGGTTGCCTTAATCCCTTTCACTGCCCCAAGGAGACACACTCTGGACAAGTTCAGGACTTCACTTCATGTTCCCTTCATTACTGAATCGTATAATGTCTCTATCAGGGCTCAGTTTTGTGCGTAGTTCCAAGACACTGTTATCCTCTCTGCAGAACATCATTCCTAGTGTTTCCTGCTTTATTCTGTATAAGGTTTGCATCTGCAGGACATCACAGAGTATTTCAACCATGCATTCTTTGTGTTTCATCTTCCCAGTTCTGTTCATACTTTCATCCCTGCAGGCCTCTTTAACTGAAGACAATTTGTCCCATATCCTTCCTATCCAGAAAGCTTCACATCAGGCATTCTGCATGGCCAGTCTCCCCAGCAGAATAATGGACCACAGATCAGCACCCAGCATGTACTTGCAATGTTATTTATTGTGTGCTCATCATATCTTGCCTGACATGTGCAAAGCCTCTCTATTCGTCCTTAGTGTGATCTGAACAACATGCATTCTTGTTATTTTCTCTTCTCTCTACTTTGTGCCTTTAAAATCCTCCAAGTACCCCCTCCACCCTGCTCATTGCTGACTGCAGCTTCTCTCTTCTACTTTCTCCCCTCATCTCTCCAGAGGCGCTCTCCGCATTCCCTGCAGGCTGCACTGGACATGCTGTCCGCTCCTCCCCTTGGACAGCCAGGATCCAACTTGTATTTTAATGAGTCAGATCCAGCTGGGAATAAAATTTTAATGAGTTTGCTGTGAGTTGCGGTGTCTCTAGCACCAAGGGGAGAACAGCTGCAGCCTGACCCCCTACTCACAATTGTCTGGCTAAAACATGTATAATTGTGTGCATCTCTAATACCTCTTTAACTCTGTGCGTGTCTCTATGTCTTTATCTGTAAACCTGTATTGATTAAATCAAATGTGGAATTTTAGGCATAGCTTATGCGTGCACAAAATAGATATTCTAATGTAGTGTCAGACTGTGGGTAGTAGGTGCCATCTTTTGTAAACTCCACCTTGGTATTCTGTTACATGCATACCATGATAGGAGAGACCAACATATTCAAACTAGGGATCATAAACATAAACTTAGTCCTCTTAAACTAAAGCACCCAGGTAATGCTGACCTTTTTAATTTGCAAACGTAGTTGGGTCCTATCATCTGCTTGATGTCATTCTTAAAGCAGTGCCATATACACGTGCACAGAGAATCACAAGTGCCATTTGCACTCACACAAATGCAAACATTTGGTGGTTTCATTCTTCAGAATTGCTAAGAATCCACAAGAGTTTACGAGGACCATGCAAATGGGCAAAGAACTGCATTTCGGTAGCATTGCTGTATTTTTAATTTTGATTTTTGCCTATTTGACCGTCACTGGACATCTATAGGAATAGCCTTGTTTTTTTCTGAGCCATTGAGCTCGGCTTTCCTTGGCTGACATCTGTTTCTCACACATAGAACGTTCCAGTGACATACTGTATGTAACACTGTAGTTTAATCACTATGCCAATACTGGATAATTGAATAGGAAACGTTCAGCTAAAATATCATATCTGGTAATATAACAGTCGCAGAATGTTTCCAGTTTGGTTGTGTTCACCTAAAATGTGTCTTCTAATGACCTCACAAGGTGACATGTCCACTTGTGTGGAGGTAGCCAAGGGAGCAGATGGGATGCTACACTTACCTTAAAAGCGTCACTAGCTAGAAACACCGTCTTGCTCGTTGCCATACTTATTTTGGCTCCTGGCACCTTCATCTGCCAGGAGCTGTTCTCACTGTTGTTCTCTTGTGCAAGGCAGAGTCCAACGTCACTCATGCACAATATGGTGGCATCGACATCTACTACACATGGTACAAGGTGATGCCTGTTCCCATCAACAATGGTGATTTACAGCGTTTGGTGGCAGAAAACTGAAAGATTAACTATTCAATGAGACAAACAGTTTGTTACTTTTTTTTATGGATATCTTTGAATCGTGTTGTAATTTTGAGTAAATATTTTTTTAGGTTTTGTTTTTGTATTAAAGAGAGTAATTTCAGCGCAGTCAAAAAAAGAGTATTTCATAAAGATTCCATCTTTTATTTAAAAAAACAAAAAGCCTAAATGTGACTGATGCTCCTTAACCCCTTAAGGAAACATGACGGAAATATTCCGTCATGATTCCATTTTATTTCAGAAGTTGTATCCTTAAGGGGTTAATGTAAATATTTATTCATTTATATATTTGGAATGTATAAATAATGCTGAAGCCGCGACCCGTTTAGTCATATTTTGCCTTTGCACCTAAACCGTGTATATAAATAAGTCTAAACAGGCTTTATACGTTAGAACAAAGTGGATTCCACATCTTATTATTGCATTTGTGGCTTTTGTTACTGAGCTGATAACACCGTGAACAGGATGGCAGAGAACTGAAGCTCATTAAAGTGATCTACTGGAGTACTCCCTTTTGCTCCTATTTTTATACATAATCTCCCACTAAATAATAATTAAATCTGTTAGCTGTTTGGCTGCAGCTGGTATACATGGATGTATTTCTGGTGTGAAGTTTTTTATTTATATCTGCAGACACTAATCATGTCAGAATTTGCATTATTTTTGTTTACGAAAAAACTTTTATACATAACCCAAAAATCTTGGAATGGTAGATATGAAGTGTTTTTACACAGTACAGCATGCAGCTGACATTAAACACACACCATTCTGTTGCCGTGCCAGCTATATATAAGTAGACACAATATTTATCCAGAATTATGTGCTCCATGCTTACTGCCATCGCATGTCTAATCACTATGCAGCCGTGACCCCTGCTCTCCCATGTAATTTATCAGAGATCTGAGGGGTCTTCTAATGAGTAAAGCGTGCCTGTGTTTTCTTATGAGAAACTCAAGAATTACCCTAGGGCTCAGCAAGGCAGCTTTCTCTAATTAGTCCAGGAAAGGGGCTAAGGGATGGGGTAGAATGTCACCCCCCTCATGTGCATGCATCCTGAATACCCTAATTCTGCTAAGATACATACTGTCATTGCTTTTCTATGCCACCAAACCTGACAAAGTGATGCTGGAAAGCATTCACACATTGACTATATTATAAAAAAAAAAACCTTGCACACACTGCAGCCGAGATGTTATCCCATCTTTCTAGAATGAAACGTTTATCTGTAAGGTTTTGTGTTAGAGTCCAGTTTTCAAATGTTCTTCTGCTTTCTTTTTCTTTCAGGAAAGAAAGCTGAGTGCTCACCCTTATGTTGAGATATATAAAGGAGACAAGATTATATTCATGTGCCCACTGTCTCGACAGAATGACTTTTACGTGCCTGAGATGAAAGAATTGATGAGAAAGGAAAAAGGAGAGGAAAGCTTGCCGGATAGCGCAGGTATGATACCTTCAACTTTCTAGCGTTGGATGCCGGCCCTTCTCCAATACATGTGACCAATCTGCTGCACTGATGTATCTGCTAGAAACTATTACCTGTTTCGTGAGGATAACTTTGTTTCTTTACCTCTTTATTTGGAACGGAATGTACTTTTAAAGAGAAGTGCAATTTTACTCTGTGATGTAGGTTAAAGGGGTTCTTATAGGTACACAGATCAATGAAAAGGAACAGGGACAGTAAACTTTAAAACACACTGGAAGTATATAGCAAACCTATAGCTTTACAGAAACATGCAGGTACTTTAGATTTAGTCACACAAAAAACACTTTTTCAGAGTGTTGAATTAAAGGGACAATAATGCTTTCCTATTGGGAGGTCTAATAATGTCCGCGCGCGCATTGGGTCTCCCCCGCCTGCTGACATCGGTGGGGGAGGAGCGTGGGCGGAGCCTGACCCAGCGCCGAGGGACATCAGTGACTTATCTGAAACCAGCGCCGAAGGGGTTTTAACCTCTTCAGCAACATGGGATGGGGGATGGGAGGGAGGGGACACTGCAGATTCCTGCAGGGCAAGGAAAACGGGTTTGTTTTCCTGGCACTGGAGATTCCCTTCGAGCAGTTTTAGTGTATAAATCAGCAATTCCCAAACTATGTGCCAGGGCGCCGCGACAGGCACACAGGGACGCCAAATATGTTTACCCAGTGCTATTAATATAGTACCAAGAAACATTTCTGCTGAACAGGGGCTGGGTCACGCACCGCGGCCCTATAAGACCGCGACCGGGCCCCTGTAGTGTTGGCCTGTCACTTCGTCCTAGCTTTGTGCAGGGAGACAGCGAGAGGGGGAGGGGAGAGGAGAAGGAGCACGAGCACAACGAACTGCTCCAAACTACTCACTCCCATCAGCTAGCAGTAGGACCAGAACTCTAATCAAGCCACCCTACTGGACACAGAAGGTGAGATAACAGGAAGGTGACTGGAGATATAAAAAAATATCACTTGTATGTGTTTCTATCCGATTGTGTGTGTGTGTCTGTCTGTATGTGCGCACACATCTGTGTGTTATTGTATGCGCATGTGTCAGTGTTTGTATGTCAACGTGTGTATCTGTTTCATAGTGTGTGCATGTGTCAGTGTTTACATATTTTATTTTCCATAAGATGTTAACTTGCTTTTGAATTTTTTTTAATCTCATTCAAGTCACAGGAGTTGTGTCTAGAGCTGGATAAACAAAGCGATTTAACTAATAAATAACAGAGAATTGAGCAGTGACATGCAGGGGCATGGTCTGTACACCAAAACTGCTTCATTAATCTAACATTGTTTTGGTGCCTAAAGTTGTTCAAGTATCCCTTTAAATTGCAACTCCTACAGTTATCCCTTAAGCCCTGGGGCCTACTTCCTCTGTGGCCACATGCTCCGAAATATGCTTGAGTCTGCTGGACTCTCTCCTCATTTAAAGTTGCTCACTAATGATACAGAGCTTGTGGATATGCCATCCAATATTTAAAAACAAAGATGGAAATCGCATCTAAAACTAAATTGGACGGAAATTTTACAATTCTTATATAAGGGTGGAGTTAGGAGAAACATCGATATGGACCAAAAAATGCATGTTTGTGGACTGGAACAAACTACCTGATGCTATTTTACATACCTGCTTGCCCCATCTAGACAGCAGTGACTTTCAGCGAGGCTCTGGTCAACATTTTGGCAGTGTCTCGCCGCTCCTGCACTGATAAATGCTGGGATCAAGTCAAGAATTCCAATGACTTTCCTGTATACAATCATTCACTGCATGCTGTAAGCAAATCATAGCGGAGTCATGGAAAATATGTTGTTAGTATGTGCAATAAAAAGCACATACTATCGAATTCCCATATTAGGTGCATTATAGGGTTGTATTAAAAAAAAAAACCTTCAGTTTATTATTCTTTAAGAAGTCCTAGGTCCCTCTGACCTCATAGAAAATCACATACATATTACATAAATATACATATTCTGTTTTCAGAAGTGCATGTTTGTTGGTGCATTTCAGGCCTTTCTATACAAGAGCTGGCTTTCTGTACAAGAAGTTTAAGTTTTGGTGTCTCCTGAAGTTATTGTAATTGCTTTGTTGGTGTGTGTGTGTGTGTGTGTCTCCTACTTGTTATCCTTCTTCCCACAGTCTATATTGGGAAATGATATCTCTGTTTCCAGATTGTATTCTGGAAGCTCTCCCCTGCCCTCATGATGGGAGGTCTGGGACATGGCACTGCCAGGATGGCAGATCCAGTCCTCAAGCTGTGTCAGGCACAATTAACATTATTTTACACTTAATGATTCCCTGGAGGTTCGTCATCAGCCATGGGCAGCACCAGCTGTCACTGTCACCTCATCGTGTGATGCTGCCCTCTACTCCCAGCTCTGGGCACTCACTGCCAGCCAAGGTCATTACTAGTTCTGGTAGTTAGGAATCTGCGTGAGGCCCATATTTGGTGTAACGTGCAGGCGGAGGGCAGGACAGTGAGCTGACACCCCTCATCCTCTCCCTCTATTATTATCTTTGTGTGTTATTAAGCAGCTGGGATCTGACGCACGCCAAGGGGTGGGGGGCAAAATAAATGGCATGTTATAATCTGCTGGGCAGGGGGCACACCTGCGACACAGAGTGGGTGTACGAAAAAGAGACAGGAAAGTGAGACTGTTCTAAAGGAGAACATCAAGATACTGGTATTATAGAGGGGGAGGAAAGAGACATAAAGACACTGATACACACAGGCTGAAGCATTTGTATTTGAAGAGAGACTAAAAATGCAGCATTTAACTTGATAAAATACACTGAGGGTGGAAGGGGCATGAAAACAAGATTTGAAAAGCATGGGGTAGGAGCCTAGCAGTTCAGTAAAAGCAGAGACTGAGACAGTAAAATAATAGACTTGTATAAAGAAAGATTAAAAAAGAATTATGTGGAAAGTAATACGGGTGCTTTAGTGCCCACATTGAAAGTTAAGACTGTTTAGAAAGTGTCAGCACAATAAGTATATCTGTATATATTTGTGCCTAAGGGGGACTTTCCAAAGTACAACTTGAAATATGCAGGTGATGTGCAACAAGTGTTCTTGGTCTAACCACAAACCTTTTAGTATATATATGCTCTCAGAGAAACTTCAAGTTCCAGACCAGAACCAGAGCCATGCTGACGAGACTCACAAGGTTAAAACTGTACAGTCCATGGTTGGTTTTTAGTCCCTGGTCCTTTTGGATCATGACCAACATTATCATTATAAAGAAGAGCTGTGCATTTAATACCATATCCATTGCTATTACATATATGTGTCTGTTGTGCATCACCTCTACATCTCAAGGTGGACTTTGAGAAGTCCTCCTTGGGCACAGAAACTCAAGAAATGATCTTTTTACAATTATCCAAGAGTTCCATCTCAGAACCAGTGCCATCCCGGTAAGACCCTCAAGGTCCACGTCCATGACTTGTTTCTGGTTAATGATCCTTCTTGGATTATAAAGCCCATGCTTTGGTTTGAAGGAACACTATAGTGTATAGGAATCTTAACGCTGTAGTGTTCCCCTATCTATTTTAAGGAATGCCCCCCGCCCTCCCATAGGGGTATTAGAGGTGAGTATTGCTGAGGTCATGAGGAATGATGATTTCAGCCAATCCAATGCTTTCCATAGGGGAATAGTGCACATGTACGGTAAATTGCGTCAAGGCTCCAATCAAATGCTGCTCCAGGAGCAGCATTTCATTAATGCAGAGTCTGACTCAGTTCTCATAGAAAAGCGCCACTAGTGGCTGTCAATAAGGTAGTCACTATAGGTGTGCTAAAACTAAAGGGCCACTGCACACAGGCCATATCATCTCAATGAAATCTAAACTGCAGTCAGTGTAACACATTACTGTTTAGTAGACACCGCAATGTTATGATCGCAGGGCTTAACACACCTGCAATCTCTTCTGTTAAGTAAACAAGTTAGACTCGGTTATTCAATCAAATGTTTGATGCGGAGTAACATTTTGCCTCATATGCACACTAGTCTCTGGATGCTTCCTTGTGGTGGCTGTGGTGAAACCAGTGCGGCAAGGGGGTAAAGGTAAGGTAATAACTACCTTTTTAAAACCCTCATAGTTGTGCCAGACACGTAGATAGGTAGGGTAACACCTTTGATACACCCCTACATATGAGACAGTTGCACATATACCATAAATGGCAACCAATCAAGGGTTAAAGTGTTCAATCCTTTGTACATGGCATATCAGCAGGAGTTTGAGTAGGCCCAACTATGGCTGCATTTGACAAAGTATTCTATATATTTAAAACCAAAATATGTCCTGGCTGCAAGGGGAGTGGGGAATAGGGGAAAAAGCCACTCTTAAACATCTAAACATATAATGCGGGCACGGTGGAGCAGCAATGAAAAACTCTTAGTAACGTGAATGTGGGAAAAATCTCACTTGAATGGTAAAAGGCATGATGGGATGCTTTTCTTGATGTATTTTCAACCCAGGAACATGTAGTCATTAAAAACATACATCGTGAGCCTAACCTGTGTGATACCTTTCTCTAAAATATGTGCATAACCCTTTTTTCCTAAAAGAAAAAAATATATAAATGTTTAAGATGGAGAGTGTTGTGTATGCGTGTATGTGTATGCTGCAACTAGAACAACATTGCAAAGGTAAACAGACAGGAACACTGCATCCAGACCACTTCAATAAGATGTAGTGATCCGGGTGCCTATTGTGTCCCTTTAAAGAGAGTGTTTTTTATGCAATAAAAAGGCATAGAGTATGGGTTGATAGCTGGTAAATAGTGCGTGTTTGTCATCTGGATCACTCTCAGGGTTTGTGCTGTGTATCATGTGAGTCTGCTTGGGTATTGATTGATTGTATTTAATTCAGTGAAAAAGCTTGTTTTAATCAAATAATTGGTTCAATTTTTAATATCCTAAGAAGGTGAATACATTATTTAATCTTGTGGGAAACAAATAGGCTTATTTTAATCTGGTGCAAAGCCGTGTACTATTCTAATCTCATGAATAGTCATCGGTCTGTGGTATCAGGCCCTTCGGGACTCATGGTATATTTCCTTCGATCACTAATCTTGCATCAGATGTAATTACCTTAACAAAAGTGACATCTCGATACATCCTTTTCGAGTTATGTTTTTGAAGGGGCTTTGAAGGTACCTTTTCAGATCTGTGTGGCTTTTTATAAATGTATTTATTTTCCCAAATAGATATATTTTTCCTTTTTATCTTTATAATTTAAACCTTTCCATCATAATAAAAAAAATATATATAAAATCTTATTTATACAAAACAAAATAGAAGATATTCAGACAACTCAGCAGATATTTTTCAAATCGTATATTCATTTTCGTATGAAAAGTGCTTAATTCTCATTCCTAACCTGTTTTACGTAATTGTATTTCTTTTGTTGTCTGCTTTTCTCATTATGTCTTCTTCATCCAATGCAGAGACTGACCCTATGTTACCAGAGGAATTAATGAGTCTGGAGCTGGTGTCTGAGAACCCTGAGGAAACAGGAGATGGATCCCAGCAGAAAGAACACATGGAAAGCGAGAAGAGCCACAGCGAGTCTGGGGCAAGCTGCTCCTCTTTTGAAGAACTGGAAACAGATGCATGTGGGTCTGCCGGAAAGGCTCAACTGGACACTAAAGCCAAATGGAGTGAAATGCCCGAGACCTGGGAAAAGGCGAAACCAGAGGAATGAGTGGTCACTCGTGGCTGATGCTCATTCGATCTATTTCCTTTGACTCTTTTCTCTCAGTGCAATATTCTTACTATATCTTTTATATCCCTCTTATACTTTGTATCTCTCATAATGTAAGAATTCTACCCTTAAATCCTATTCCTCTGATCCTCTGTTTTCCGAAATTCTTTCTTGTTTTCTCTGTCTTTCTGATTTCTTTTTTTCTTCACATTCTTATATATTAATTCATTTTTAATTATTATTTTATTACTGCCATTCAGTTGAAGCTGATGAATTTGTATGATGGAGTCTTGTACTTTAACAATAACAAAATCTAGAGTTTTCAAATACATATCTAAACTTGAACAATCTTTTCTGCAATATGGATAAGTCAATGAATGTTCTGTATTCTGGCTGGATACATCTGTTTTTATTTTTTAGTTCATTTATAAACTCGCCACAATTATAATGTTTACAGTGACTGTGATCTTAAAGGGACACGATCATACAACATATTGCGTTTTGTTTTTTTTGTTGTTGTTTTTAAGTGGTGTACTTCAGGGATATAGCTGGATTAAGTGCTAGGTTGAAACCCTTTTAAAACTTTGTTGATTTGTATCACAAGGACATTACACACGTTTATCTCTTTAAAAATTACTTATTACTCCTATAAAAACTACTGTTAAGGGGTATATGGCATGAATAAATAATAGATTATATTGCACCGTAAAAGTAACATATGTAGTATATTGCACTCATGATTTTATAAAGAGGTGTATACAACAACTGTGAGGTTATGTTACCCACAGAGATAAAGTGCACCAATTAAGTTTATGGTCTATAGCAGGGGCGGGGAACCTTCGACCCTTCAGATGTTTTGGACCACATCTCCCTTGATGCTCTGCCAGCATTATGGCTTTAAGAGCATTATGGGAGATATAATCCAAAACATCTGGAGGGCCAAAGGTTCCCCATCCCTGGTCTATAGGTTGCTCTCCCATAGTTCTCAGCACTGCCATTCACTAGTCTTGGACTAATGCTCACTTGGTAGGTTACTTTATTTCCTGGACCCACTGCTGACTTTTATCTTGGAAGCGTATACAATAAACAAAGTTGAAGTAAATTAACAGTAAACTGTAATATGGGTTTTTGTAGACATCACTGATCAAATAAGCAAATTAGTCAACACAATGTCTGGGTATCAGCTTAAAAACTCACAGAATTTATTATTTTTAAATAACACTTGACTTTGGTATTTAGTTACATGCATAAGCCTGGCACCACACCAATGTACCTGCTCTAATGAGATTAACCCACTTAATTGGGAAATCCATCTTCCTGGGACTCCCTTCAGGACAAGGTTAAACAGGTTTCTGGAATGAGGAATATGTGAAAGGGAGGGTTGCAAAACCAGGGAGATGGCTTGGACTTCCAAACATATTTACGTACAAAATAAGGGAGGCTGTGCTCACCCTAAACATTCTTGTAACACAGTATATAGAAACAGAACCCATCTATGTAAAATGGCAACAAAATGCACTGCTTGTACCCCTGAGCAGCAACTATACTGTACCAGTTTAATGACTGGCTCAGCAACGCAACTGCATTCCTGGCGATATTAATAAGCATAATTAACTATTTCATTAGCACTTTATTTGCAGAGTGCCCTGAGCTGGATTTAAGGCAAATGGCATATTTTGGTGGACTTCTGGTTAAAGGCCCAATACACCTCTATGATGCTCATATTAAAAGTATAGACAAAAAAACTGTAGATGCAATATTAATTTACAAAATGTGCCTGCACCTTGTAAAAGCAGGTTAAAATCAATAGATGGACTTAACAAGGAGTAGGTAACATTGTGAGATATAATCAAGGTAACCATGAAATAATTATTGCTAGAACATTTGACTGCATTTGAACCTGGTCAATCACAGTTACAAAATATATGTCAAAGTTTAAAGGATACTTTCTGGGATATCCTTAGAGGAAGCTTTGCATACTTCTAGATAAGACAGTTGTTTTTGCCACACAGATTGGTGTGGGTGCTGTTTTTGTGTGTATACATATACAGTGAGGGAAACAAAGTATTTGATCCCCTGCTGCTTTTAAACGTTTGTCCACTGACAAAGAAATGATCAGTCTATAATTTTAAAGGACCACTATAGTGCCAGGAAAACATAGTCGTTTTCCTGGCACTATAGTGCCCTGAGGGTGCCCCCACCCTCAGGGTCCCCCTCCCGCTGGGCTCTGGGGAGAGGAAGGGGGTTAAAACTTACCTTTCTCCAGCGTCAGGCGCATTTACAATGCTTTCCTATGGACACTTGCGTCCTCTCACTGTGATTTTTTTCTGAAACTGCTATGTTTATAAAGAAAACGGGTTAACCCTGGCTGGACCTGGCACCCAGACCACTTCATTAAGCTGAAGTGGTCTGGGTGCCTAGAGTGGTCCTTTAATGGTAGGTGTATTTTAACAGTGAGAGACAGAATAACAAAAATCTAGAAAGACAAAAAAGGTTATAAACTGATTTGCATGTCAATGAGTGAAATAAGTATTTGACCCCTTCGACTTACTACTTGGTGGCAAAATCCTTGTTGGTCAGACATTTCTTGTAGTTGGCCACCAGGTATGTACACATCTCAGAATGGATTTTGTCCCACCTCTCTTTGCAGATCCTCTTTAAGTCATTAAGGTTTCAGGGCTGACGTTTGGCAACTCGAACCTTCAGCTCCCTCTACAGATTGTCTCTGGAATTAAGGTCTGGAGACTGGCTAGGCTACTCAAGGACCTTACTGTGCTTGTATTTGAGCCACTCCTTTGTTGCATTGGCTGTGTGTTTTGGGTCATTGTCATGCTGGAATACCCATCCACGACCCATTTTTAATGCCATGGCTGAGGGAAGGAGGTTCTCACCCAAGATTTTACAGTACATGGCCCCGTCCATCGTCCCTTTGATACGGTGCAGTTGTCCTGTCCCCTTAGCAGAAAAACGACCCCAAAGCAAATGTTTCTACCTCCATCTTTGACAGTGGGGATGGTATTCTTGGGGTTATAGGCAGCATTCCTCCTCCTCCAAAGAGCTCGATTTTGATCTCATCTGACCACAACACTTTCAACCGGTTCTCTACTGAATCATTCAGATGTTCACTGGCAAACTTCAGACAGGCCTGTACATGTGCTTTCTTGAGCAGGGGGACCTTGCAGGTGCTGCATGATTTCAGTCCTTCACTGCGTAGTGTGTTACCAATTGTTTTCTTGGTAACTATGGTCCCAGCTGCCATGAGATCGTTAAACAGATCCTCAATTGTAGTTCTGGGCTGATTCCTCACCGTTCTCATGATCATTGGAACTCCACGAGTTTGAGATCTTGCATGTGCCACCAGACCGAGGGAGACTGTCAGTTAGTTTGTGTTTCTTCCACTTGCAAATAATCGCACCAACTGTTGTCACCTCACCAAGCTGTTTGGCGATGGTCTTGTAGCCCATTCCAGCCTTGTGTAGGTCTACAGTCATGTCCCTGACATCCTTGGACAGCTCTTTGGTCTTGGCCATGGTGGAGAGTTTTGAATCTGTTTTATTGCTTCTGTGCACAGGTATCTCTTATACAGGTAACGAGCTGAGATTAGGAGCACTCCCTTTAAGAAAAAAAGGCACCTGGGAGCCAGAATACTTATTTCACAGACATGCAAATCAATTTATAGCTTTTTTTGACATGCGTTTTTTCTGGAATTATTTTTGTTCTGTTTCTCACTGTTAAAATACACTGTCCGTTAAAATTATAGACTGATCATTTCTTTATCAGTGGACTAACGTTCAAAATCAGCAGGGGATCAAATACTTTGTTCCCAAACTGTATGTCAAAGTGCATGCAATATTTGAAATCATGGGACAAAATCCATCATCATGGAAGACTTTCAGACAAGCTTCTGTGCTGTAATAGCCAAGTATAGAATATAGTAACTTTTAACAGTCATGGGAAATGCATAAATCGTTTTATTTACCCATCTAGGAAAACTTGGATTAACTGTTAGTTTAAACTACCTGAAACTTTAAATATAGCAGATAAGCCTCAGATTACAAAATTCTATTTCAGCTCAAGTCTTTCCAAAGTTCCTTCTCAAAACATGATCCGACACAGATTATCGTATGACATGATTGCAGTTCTCTGTCAATGCCTAGTTTACAGGTATTCAGCACGCACCAAGGTTATTCTGTTCATCCAGCATGGGGAAATCTTTGTACAATTTATACATTAGTATTGTATGAATGGTTTTCAACAGTACGAATACAGATCAAAGGATCTGTAAATACATTTTTTTTAAAACAACACCTCTTAATTTTGTACTCTGTAGATGTTTCAGAGTTTTTTGTTGTTTTGTTTTTTTTAAGGTGCATGTTAATGTTTCTGAAGTAAGAAAAACACATTGAACTTTTCCCATTATTATTTGAATTTTCACTACACCTACTGTTACCAATTGTGATCATTTAAAGCTTGTGAGTGTTGTTTTAAAGTTTGTTCCCCATTCTGACCTGCTACCTCATCCCTCGGAACCCGCTCAGAGACTGAAAAAGAGGGCTGCTGGCGCGTTCGTTCACAGTAATAAAGTTTAGGTTTCACTGCGGTTTAGGGTTAGGAGCTGCACTGCAGCAAAGGGAGTTTTGAAATTTAGGGTTAAGATGAGGGTAACAATGACACTTAGAGTTAAAGGATCACTATAGTGTCAGGAAAACAAAGCCGTTTTCCTGACACTATAGTGCCCTGAGGGTGCCCCCACCCTCAGGGTTCCCCACCCGTGGCGCTGAAGGGGTTAAAACCCCTTCAGTTACTTACTTTAATCCAGCGCTTGGTGACCTCTCCTCCCCGCCCGACGTCAGCTCCCCTGTCCAACGTCACTGGAGCCGAATGCGCATGCGCGGCAAGTGCCGCACGCACATTCAAAGTGTCCATAGGAAAGCATTTCTCAATGCTTTCCTATGGACCCTCTGCACGATGGAGGCAAAATTCGCCTCCAGCCTCGCAGA